GGGTGACTTGGTGATGGGAAACCCGTGGGGATTACAATTGAGATGGAAAAAAAATGTACAAAATGATGTAAAAATAAACTTTTGTAATAAAAAAAAGAAAGAAAAAAGAACAAAAAAAAAGCAAAACATAATGAAAATAAAGAAAAAAAGCAACTCATAGTAAATGAGAAACATGTAAAAAAAAGTTTAAGGAAAAATCAGTTAATGATGGAGGAAGAGTGAAAGATTAAAAAATAAGCAATAAAAAAGGATAAACACAGAAGACCAATATCCAAATCATATGCATCCCATAAAATGAGACAAAGGCTTAAATTTTAAAAAAAATAATGATTCAAAAGAATTTCCAGAATTGAAAGAAATTAATTGACCAAAGTCCTTAAATTTTAAAAAGACAGGCACTGCACATATCTCACAAGAAATTCAGATACTAGAAATATAGAGGGTCCTACAAATTTTGACAGAGAAAAAAATGGGGGAAATCACAATGAAAGCCAGAAGGCTTCTCAACAGCAATAAAAGACAATGGAGAGTTGATTCTAAGTTTTAAGTGAAAATGATTTTCTTTCTCCCCCCCCCTTTTTTTTTTTTGGCTTATTTATGCATATAAGAACTTAAGTGTAGAAAGAGGTGGGGAGTTGGAGAGGATTCACCAGAGACAAAGTAGGGAGCAGAACTGGCAGATATACTGAAATACATCGCAAAGGAGAGCAACAGGCAATATAGGAGCCATCTGCTGCACTATATGTGGGTCACCTCCCTGGCCAGGGATTAAATTCAGGCTATAGCAGTGATAGTTCTGCCACCAGGAAACCCCCTGAAAATGATTTTCAACACAGAATCTACATCCAGCCCAATCACTGACCTAAAATCAGAATAAAGACATTCAAGATTTCAAAATGAACTTTCGCAATCATCTTTTTTAGGAAGCTACTTGAGGATGTGCTCCAACAAAGGAGAGAGGAAAACAACAAAGACAAATCAGATTCAGGAAATAACAGATCTTACATTAGAGCTAAGTAAAAAGCCCCCAGTAAATAGCAGGCCTAGGTAAAAGGGACACACTGGTAAAGAAGAGACAAAATTCCTTGCCTTCAATGAGCTTTCATTCCAGTGTAACAGGAGTTCTCAAAATGGGGTCTGTAGATAGATGGGGGTCCCTAAGGCCCTTTTACAGGATCCAGGAGGTCAGAACTATTTGTACTGTAATACTAAAACATTATTTACCTTTTTCACTGTATTGACTTCTGCACTAATGATGTAAAAGCACTGGTAGGTACAACTACTGGTACCTTAACAGGAATCAAGGCAATAGCACCAAACAATACTACTTATCACTGCATCCTTAATTGTAACACAGTCACAGTAAAGAAAAACAAAAATAGCAGTTGAAATCACTAGTTTTATTTAATGTCAACCTTAGATTACATATCTTTGCAACATTCTAAATGATGAAATGGAAAATAAACATAACTGCTACTTCCAGAAAAATGACAGTCATCTTTAAAAAGTATTTGTGCAATTAAATTGCAAATTGTGCTAGTTGCTTTTATCATTAAACTCTTTTTATTTTGAAAAATTGAATGATAATTCAGACGTAAGTATATGACAGACATTTTCTCACAATAGTCATTCACTTCAAAGAAAACTGGAAGTATTTGTTGTCAATATAAAATTTGAACCCTAGGGCAAAAATTAGAATTTTGAATTACTAGCAACCACCTCTATGAGACTGTCAATCTTTCCCAGTACTTAAGAGTTTGCTGATGAAATCAGCAATGATATTAACAGATGAGATTCTTTTAGTATTATATAAAGAAGGGTGTCAACATTTGGAAGATACACAGAACTCAGTCAACCAGTATTTATCAATTCTCTAATGCCATAGGGGAAAAAAAAATCATTCACAATGCAAGACAGACCAATAGATTTTTGTGTGATAGAGCATGGAAATACCATGATATGGTTTGAAATACCACATTACAGTCAATCTTTAAGGAACTACTACTTGTCAAGTTTTGATGAAGTATCAGAGTGATTATCAGAAAAAGATATTAAAACACTACATTTCAACAACATAGCTGTGTGAACCCATATTTTCTTCAGATACTTCAAAACAACCCATCAAAATAGACTACATGCAGAAGTAAGAATTCAACTGTCTTTTATTAAGCTTAGCCATTAGACATCTGAAAAAAAAATAGAAAATGTCACTTTTATCACTATTTGTTTTTGGACTATACAGCTATTTTTTAGATCACATGTGTAACATATTAGCATGGAAGGGGTTTGTTTTTTTTTTTAAATAGATTAACAAGTACTTCAAATGTTTATTTTAATTGCTATAAATTAAGTATTTATAGATACACCTCATATAGATAAAAGTTCTTAGGGACCTCAAGAATTTTTAAGAATGCAAAAGGAGTGTATAACTAAAAAGTATACAACTGAAGTTTAAGAACTATTGCTCCAAGTCATTTCCATTCTCCATTCTTGTCCTGCTTCTTTATGTCAGGCATAAAGAAGAAAAAAAAGGAAAAGGACACATATATCTAATTATGTATCTTGTTGGTCACCAAAAAAGAGAGAACAGAAGGTAGATATAAATTGTTCTTTGTTTTTACTTCAAACATAATTCATCCATAACTAAGGAATGATTACATTTAACGCAGAAAATTATGGAAAACCCAAAATCCTCCCTTAGAGGAATCAAGCAGAAAAGGTTGAAACAAATCATACTTTCTTTTTTCAAATAACACATTTACATTTCAGAAAATGGACACATAAGACTGATCTCAACAAGAGGAAGCAAAAGGCCATGATATTTCTCTATTAGAGTCTACTTCAAATATTTCTTTAGAAAAGGTAGTGAACCCCAAGCATTTCAGAGGTATACATCCAAAAATTGTTCTATCAGTGACAAGTGCTGAGATCCCACTCACTACCTTAGATATATACTTATCTCCAGATTTCCATTATGTCAGTAGCATATAATCAAAGCTACTTGCCCATTCCAGTAATGATGGTCAATTTATATTACACAGTCCTAACAAGGAAGAACTCTATATTTAACACTAGTTGGTAAAGCTCAGGGCATGGAAGGACACAATAATAGCTCTTTCTGATACAGGCAATAAGCACAGATGTTTGGAAGCCCCATAAGTTAACAATATTGCCATCCATAAGCAGAAAGGGTAATACAGGGACAGAACCCTCACAGTTATTGGTTTTCTATTGGTTGTAAACCTCACTCAACTACTCCTGCTACAGAAGTGAAGTAATGACAAATGACTACAGTTGGCCACTGATTTACAAAGACATCTTATTGTAAATTTTAGGTACTAGTTAAAGATGTGGAGACAAGACATAGTCGTTCAAAAGAGGGCTCAGAGAAAGGGGTACACAAGTAATTCCTTTGTCTACTTATAAACACACAAGAAGCAGTTATCTTTTTCAGGAAATTTATTAGTCTATCCAACTAAAATCGTTTTATCTTGGACATATGTCCAAAAAGAAAAGAAAAAGAGTACCAGTCACTTCCAATGGAAAATCCACTTCAAAAAGTCAGAGAAAAGTAAAAATGGCATTAACAACATTGAGCATAGGAAGGAATCTACAAACAAGCATAAAGCATGGAACCATGCAAAGGCAGTGCAAGAAGGTAAAAATCTAGCATAGCAAGCATAACAAAGCAAAATTCAAGAGATACAGAGTTGTCAAAACACACCTCCTTGCGCAACTGAAAATCTGTAGCTTAGTATCTTTTTAAGAAAACATTATCAATCACAGCAACTTCTCAATGGTTCAAAATAAAAGAAAATATAGTTTCTTTAATAATCCTGTTACAGAAGCTTTCCTAATGATAGTGAAACTGTTAAAGACTACTGAATTGGTAGTGCCAATTAATAGATGCCAATTACCTTTACTTTCAATTTCAAACATGTTTAGCCCTCTTACTGAAGAACAAACAATAATAAAATGCCACCAGTTAGATGGCACCACCATTTAGGAGGTAATCTTTGCCTGCAAGTAAAGTGAATATTTACAAACTCTAAAGTTCTCAAGATTACACTTGATCATATTTCAGTACTGAAACTCGAGAATTCTGCTTAACTCCACATTAGTGTCAATACCTAAATTCAAAGATAACTTGGATACTTATCTGTGACAACATTTGAATTCTTAGCATCTTACTTTCGACACAAATAAGTTACTGCTAATTCTGAACATTAAAAACTATTTTTAGGCTTTTAAGTGAGCATTTAAAGAGAGAGAGAGAGCTTTTAAGTGAGCATTCAAAAAGAGAGAAAGAGAGATTGACTGATTTAAGGTAAAGTTGACGTAAAATCAGGAACGGGCAACATGTTTAGAAGTGCCCAACAGTGTCTCATCGAAATAAACAGAGTTTAAGAGTAGCCTAATTCTCTTGGTCCATTACCACATAACCACAAGTCCTGATGTCTAAGAAACTGTTTAAGGCCAGTGTAAGAGGAAAGTCTATTCCTCCGTGCAACCACGCCCCTAGGTCGGGAATGGTCAAATGGAACTGTAAAGGGGATGGATCTGAAGCAGAGACAACACCGTGGTGAGATAGGATTCACCAGGTTGCAGGGTCCTTTTGGATTCCAGTCCGTAGCACAGGCCACGGACTCTAAGATGAATCCAGAAACCCCACAGCAGCGATCTAGAACCAGGGCTGGGGGTGGAATAAAGATGGGGTACTTAGGAGGAAGGGGAGAGCTGGCTCACTCTCCCTCACCTCCACTAGATACAGCGCCTAGCATGAGGCCACGGCAGCCCACCACCCTACAATCGCCCGCTGTACAAGCCCAGGACCTATCTTCGACCTCTGATATCAAGACCTCCGGGATCTGGACCGCCAGGTGCGTGCGCATGCGCCCGGCGCCGCCTCACCCCACCCCCATCCCCCATCTCCGCGGCAGACCTCGGCCTCGCGCAGCCTCAGCCCAGCAGGCCTCGGAGGCCCGCAACCGCTGGCGCAGTCTCCTAACTAAGGACGTGGGCAGTAGCTGGGTCCGGCTTTCGGGCCCAAACCTTCCCGTGACTTGCAAATGCCGCAGACCTGAGAGTCTCCACAAACCTAAGCGCTGCCGGCGTCCTCCGAGCTCGCTTCAGTTCAAGCTCGCCGCCTTCCTGGTTCCCAGCACCAGGCAGCTCCAGCCGAACTTCGACTGCGTCGATAGAGGCTGCCAGGCATAGGAGTGCCGAAGGAGTGGATCGTCACGGCGCCAATTTTTTGTTTGGTGTTGATTTTTCGTGCTTGTTTGTTTCACTTTCTTATTACCAAAGAGCAATTAAGATGGGAACAGAGGGGTACTGTAGCCTTAGTAATCGTTCGTCGCAGATAATCAGTAAACAAATCTGCATCTTGGGAAGTTACGTCTTAAGACTCCCACATGTAGCAAAATTGGTTATCTCACGCTAGGGGAGGAGGAAAATCGCCCAACAATAATAAATCACTGCAGTGTGTCTGTATAGAGTGGTGTGTGATTAAATTGTAATGATTTATTTGCAAAAATGCATTAAAAGTCGGTGTTTCTTCTGCCCTGAAGGTGAAAGCACTCACAGGTTGGGTGCAAATTAGTTTTCACATTAAAGTAACTGGTTGGTAGAGGAAAGAGGGAGAAGGTTGCCCGAGGCGGGAGAGGTTTCTTTTGAAACAATTGAATGTATGGGGGTATTTTGTTATTATAATCAATAGAAATTAAAGCGATTTAGCATTTTCTGATCACTTATGCGTTGCATGAAAGTCATTTAATCTTGTTTGCTGCAAGTAAGCAACAATAAAGAGGTAAATAAATCGGTGTGGGTCGACATGGAACCAACTCGTTCACAACCGGGGATACCCAAGCTACAGTTGTCTACAGACATTTGATAGCGAAAACCTTCATAAATATATTTCTCACAAATGACTGTACTTTAACTAACCAGTTTTGGAGAGCCATTTTAAAACTTAACGACAACCCTATATGATTATTTTTGAAAAATTCAAGAACTGGATGTGGGGAGAGATCCTTAGGGTCCTGACTTTCATTGCACCCAGAATATTTGTCTGCAGGTTGTCAGCTGAGCTTTACTCTCAATGTACTTTGACTAAATATTTGCTATTGAATGAACATTAGAGCTTCTTAAGCTTTTCATTAGATTTTTTAAAATCTTGGACTTTTTTTTTTAAACAAAATTCAAGTCAGGCCAGTGGGAATCAGTGGTCTGACACCAAATTTCTCATAGTTGCATATGATATCAATACCATTATTTCGAAATATAAAAAAAAGCCAATGCACCAAAATCATGAGAAAATCTATGTGGTGTGAATTACACAAGATTGTGTCCCAGCCTTTCCGGACCTCCTTTAAAGTGATTATCTCTCCCTCAAGTCCAGTAAAGGGAATTTGAGTTTAAATTTAAAAGCCATGTACTTGAGGAAGAAAAAATTAGCTTGCAACTCTCCCGGTCCCTTAATAGGCAGTAATTTGGGGGCTGTTTGTGAATATGTATATAACACTTCAGTTTGAGAGTTCCTTGAGTATGATATTGATTAACCTCATTACGTTCTATTGATTTCTATTTCTATTGATTAACCTCATTACTGGGCATTGTACAAATAATCTTAAAATGGAATTTCATAAAGGATTAAAGTTTTACGGTTATGAACCTCTGATCATATCAAAATTAAAGTGGTTACAAATGATAACCCAAAAGTAAGTGTTAAATTGTGTTTCCAAATTCACATGACTTTGGAAAATGTATTTTTGTATCTTGAAGAATAATAAAGTAAAAGCAAGAACTCAATACTGATATAAGCTATTATTAATGGAAACTTAAAGATCTTAACTATTCTCATATAAGTAGCAATAAATGAAATATTTTTCAAAGAACAAAAGATAAATTCAGGATTCAAGAGAAAAAAAGCAAAGTAACATTTCTAAAACATTTGATTGCTATCTTCCTTAAGTTCACCAAATGTGAACATTTTAAATGACAAGTAGTATTGTATTACATAGCTATATGTAGTTACATTTTATAAACACTATCATTAAGTTATAATTGTGTTCGTTTTTTTTTTTTACAAGTCCTTCAGGATGTTTTGCTGACCCTTCTCAAGTTATCTGTTAACTTTATGCTGATGACTTCACTAAAGGGTGGAAGATAAAAGTAGTAAAGTTATGTAATTGCTTTTATTTTTTACTAAAAGTATTGGATCTAAATCAACAAACAAGTTACATTTAATATCAGAAAGTCTGTATTGATATTCAAACTAGACGAAAAAACCCCAAAGCCACACTTGAATAAGAATAGTTTATGCAGTCAAATAAATATAACTTTTTGTAGACAAGTATTCTGACCACGCTTCTCACAGCAAGCTCTTGTTTGCTTAACACAAATATCTCAGGGATATAGATGATCCCTTCAGAAAAAAACAAAACTGTTTCTGTGAAAATTTGATGAGAGAAGAGAGAGGTAGTGAGATCTTTCTCCCAGCGAATTTCTGTTTTTGAATAGTCACGATAAAATTCATTGGGGCACAAACTTAAAATGTCCATCTGTTTTAAAAGTCAAAAGAGTGGCATTCTTTGTAACTAGGAAATCAATTAGAACGCCTTCCCAGGATGCTGAAGAATTCCTATAGTTTATTGTGGGAGTGGTCGGGCAGTAGAAAGTTGTAAGGGAGAAGAGGTGACGATCCCGAGATCTCAAAGAGGGAACAAAAATCATACTGTCTTTCACCTGGAGCCAAGGAAACACTTTTAAATAGAATCCGTCTGAGAACAGCTGCTCGGGAAATGGACCGGCCCCTTGAAGCGGGATTTTTTCATGGAGTATACTAGGGTTCAAGCACTTAAGTGGTGAGTGAATCACAACTTCTCAGGGCGCACAGGGCGGTGCAAACCCAGGCTTGGCTCGGGTTGAGGGCCCAAGAGCCCCTAAAGGAACCGCAGACCTGAGAGGCTGTAGAAGACCCCGACTCCTGGCAGGGTTTTGAGGCTAGAACGCAGACTATGCAGTGCGGAGTGGGATTGTAAAGATACAAGGTTAGCTGCCTGGTCAGGTGCGTAACTGGCGTGCGCCGCGCTGGGTGCACGACAGGAAAACCAAGCAGCAATTCCGAGCCCAGCGGCTGCTCCGCTTCCCGATGCGGGCGAAGATATGGGGTTGTATTCCGAGTCCTAAGACTCTAAGGACACCAGAGCCGCGCACTTGTCAGTTTCCTCTTGGCCACGCCCCGGCAGAGTAGGTCCAGCTCCCCAGCGTTTAACTAAGTCGTGACACCAACGCAAAATTCACGCCTAATTAAATTAATTAGGGATTCTTGTCAAGCCTGAATGAATGGCCAAGAGCGCAGGCGGCCGCGGCTATGTGAAAAGCAGGACGGTCTGGGATTTGCCTTCTCTTCCCTCCGGGTCGGTCCCCAGTGCTGTCCTCCACTCTAGCCCAGCCCAACCCAACCTACTCGGACTCTAATCCCAATCTCCCTCAGCAACCTCTCTCTGTCCCTCTCTTCTCGCTCTCTCTCTCTGTGTCTCTGTGTGTGTGTGTGTCTCTCTCCTGTCCCCATCTCTCTCTCAGTCTCTCTCTCCTCCCCCCCATTTCTCTGTCTTCCCCCCCACCCCCCACCCCAGGTTAGTGGCGCGGGTGCTTCCCGGGAAGGAGCTCCGACTTGTGAAGGGGAGGTAATTTACTCAGAACAAGGGGCCGCCTTTGCGAAGTATAAATAGTGAGACTTCAAGCGCCGCGTCGCTATCAGATCTGAACTCTCCGCAGGAAGAATTGTCAAAGATCTTAACATTGAACAAGCGCGCTCCGGCAGGGAAGCATCAGTTAGTGTTTCCCTCCAGCGGCCCCCGCCCCTTCCCCCTTCCTCCTCCTCCTCCTCCTCCTTCTCTCCCTCCTCCTCCTCTCCCTCCTCCTCTTCCTCCTCTTACTTCTTTTTCTCCTTTTACTTCTCCTCCTCTCTGTTCTTCTTCTTCTTCCTCCTCCTCCTCCCTCTCCTTCCCCACCCCCTGTCCCATTGATGTGTTATTATTGGGGGGGCTGGAGCAGTAAAAAAAGAAGAAGGAAAAAAAGAGCTGGGATCGGCTGGGAGCGGTTGAGCGCGGGGCTGCCAGGCATCGGCGGCGATGGAAGAACTTACAGCGTTCGTCTCCAAGTCTTTTGACCAGAAAGTGAAGGAGAAGAAGGAGGCAATCACATACCGGGAGGTGCTGGAAAGCGGGCCGCTGCGCGGGGCCAAGGAGCCGCCCGGGGGCGCCGAGCCCGGCCGCGAGG